CCCGAGAGCCCCCCCCACCCCGCCGGGGCCCGAGCGAGTCCCACAGAGCCCGCTGGGGGGGGAGCACAGAGCCCCCCGGGACCCCGGGCCGCCGCCGCTGCGGAGCGAGGGGTGAGGATCCCCAGGAACGGTCCCGCGGCCGGGCCCAGGGTTAGGATTAAAATACGTTCTTAGAGATTTTTCTAAATTGTTAGGCTTACCCCCTTTTTTTTTTTTATTTTTTTCTTTTTTATTTAACCTACTTTTGATTAAGAATTATAACCGGCTAAAAGCAGGCAGAAATCCCGCTCCTTCCCGGTGGGTCCCGGGGAAAACCCGTGACACGTTTTTGGAGCGTGTGTCCGGCGGGCACAGACCGCATCGCACCGCACGCACCGCTTCCGTGGGGCTCGACACGGGACACGGGACAGGAACTGGGATTTGGGAACTGGGATTTGGGAACTGGGATTTGCCGTTTGGGAGGAGACCGGAGCGGTGCCGCGCACTCCCCTGTCCCAGGGCGGTACCGGGCCCGCTCCGCGCTCCCCCCGAGCCCCGCACACCGACCCACCGCCACAGCCATCGGTTATTTCCCCGGTGTTTTCCGCCCCGGCGGTGTCCGGCCGCATCCCGCAGCGGCGCGTTCCCGGCCCCGCACCAGCCCGTGTGCGATTATAACCGGCTAAAAGCAGGCAGAAATCCCGCTCCTTCCCGGTGGGTCCCGGGGAAAACCCGTGACACGTTTTTGGAGCGTGTGTCCGGCGGGCACAGACCGCATCGCACCGCACGCACCGCTTCCGTGGGGCTCGACACGGGACACGGGACAGGAACTGGGATTTGGGAACTGGGATTTGGGAACTGGGATTTGCCGTTTGGGAGGAGACCGGAGCGGTGCCGCGCACTCCCCTGTCCCAGGGCGGTACCGGGCCCGCTCCGCGCTCCCCCCGAGCCCCGCACACCGACCCACCGCCACAGCCATCGGTTATTTCCCCGGTGTTTTCCGCCCCGGCGGTTCCCGGCCGCGTCCCGCAGCGGTGCGTTCCCGGCCCCGCACCAGCCCGTGTGCGGAGCGAGCGGGGACCCGCAGCCGGGCCGGGCCCGTCCTCCCTCCCGCTGCCTCAGGGACAGCAAAGGGGGCAGCGCTGCCTCCCCGAAACCACCCGCAGCGGGAAATGACACCTCTCACCGGTTACCGACCCCGCTGAGCTGCCCAGCCCCTGCCCTCCAGCCGGCTGGGGCTCCCTCGGGTCTCTGTCCTGACCCAGAGGAGCCCCGCACCCCACAGCAGAAGAAAATTACTTTTCTTGCATATGCCAAGCATTTCTCCAGAAGTTTACCTAGCTATAACATCTGGGTTTGTTGCTTGGGGTTATTTTTTAACACATTTTATCAATAGGAGTTCTTTAATGGCCAAAAATTCCTACTACAGCATTTACACACCTGCTTTAACAATTGTAAGGGAGCAGGCTTTTACGTCAATTACTCCCTTAAGTGCAAGTGCCTTGTACTCTGCATAAACACCCAAACCATGGTCTGGCTGAAGAATGAGATGAGAAATATCAGAAGCTGTTGCATTCCAGCCACAGACAGTATGTAGTACCTCACCCCCTTGGTTTTATGCCAGAATGCCACTAAGTAAAAGGATCCCCAGCTGGGCTGACGTTATTACTTATGTTTTATTTTATTACTGAAGGAGTTAACGGAAGGGTTAACTACTGTGTGAGCAGCTGACAATCTGACTCTTACGCCAGCCCAGCCAAAGGGAGGTTTATTGACCCACTCACAACCTCTGCCCCGTGGGTACAGCGCGGAGGGGCCGCAGCAGAGCCCGGCGCTGGCTCCCCAGCAGCAAACGCCGCATCAGGGGCCTCCAGGCTGCGAAAACAAACCCCCTCACCCATGGGGAGACCTGGTCTCAAGCACTTCTCGTCTTGCGGAGGAAGTTGCAAAGTTTTTTAAACCTGATGTACGGAAAAAAAAGGTATTTTGTGATTTGTCAACAGGAAAATCAACACTTAGGTGTTAGCCAAAATTAACTCAGTAGTGACGGAATTCATCTCGCTCCCCCAGACTTCTTGTAAAACTCTGGGAAACTGAATTTCACCTGCAGAATGAAGGAGCCGAGCAGCTGGAGAACTCCAGCCAAAAGTACCTGCTACTGGGCTCTGGGGAGTGTCACAAACACAAGGCCACAAGCATTGGGAAGTTACTCAAAAGAATTTACTCCAAGTAGAAAAGCATGGATTTACATTTTTATGACAAAGATCAATTTATACACTTCAAATACGTAAGAAAAAACAGTTTACAAAAAGGGGAGACATTTCACACTTCCAGAGTATGTGGATGTTCTCATCAGTTTCCATCTGTGTCTCTTAGAACGTGTCAGGGGAAAGAAACGTAACGTGCTACAACCTCCCACCAACCCGTTCCCAACCCTGAACAGCACCAACATGGAACCCCTCCTCCTTGGCCAACAATTCATGGACCTGCCACAAGCAACACTGCTCCGAACTGCACTGCACATCCCACACACACACACCTGGCTGAGGAACGGGGGGACAGAGCACAGGTAAAGAAATGCTTTCTCTGCTTATCCAGCCTGTAACAAAGCATGGATCTCTCTGTGAGCTGGACCCAGGCCACACGAGCTGATACAGCCTGCTCTCTGCTCCTCAGGAGACACCAACAAGGTGAGGGGTCCCCAAGAAGGCCCCCTGTACAACCTGACCTGCGGCACCGCGATGGGGAAAGGCAGGGCTCAGAACCCCCCCTCTAGGGATGTCACCCCATAAACCTACACCGGCAGCTGGGGAGGCTGTGGTGGGGCAGAACGGCAGCCCCACAGCACGATCCAGACTATGTGGCTGACGAGGCTGGATCTGCTTGAGATCAACCAGTAAAAATCCAATGGTAAAGGACAAGTAAGGCATTCAAGGTATGACCTGCATAAAAATGGGTCAGCCTCAGAGTGGATATGACACGGGTTTATAAATGCAAAGCTGAGAGGCAGAAAAAACCCCAAGTGTTTACACATGTCATCTTTCCATCAACATCACGCTTTGGGTCAGGTTCTCAGGAGGTGGTGGTGGAAACCCCTTGCAGACAGGAATGGCCCCACGCCTTGTGATTCACAGCAAATCTGGGCTAAGTGTGAGAGAGCGAAACTCTGTCAAACACAAATTATTTGAGCAAAACAGGTGTTGGTCTGCTGCTTATAATCACTGGAGTCTGGATTCAATTAATCCTCAGTGCAATTTACATTCTAATACAAGGAAAGTGGATCTGTCCACGCATTCTCCAAAGAGATGACCTGCTCTGTGTCCCTCTGCAGAGTTCAGAGACAGCTGAAATAAAACTCTGAGCTTCTCCCACACGAAGCCTCTGCAGTCCTCCATTTGCAATGTGCGAATGAAGAGCAGAACTGGACCATCAGGAATTCCCCTCGTGTGCTCCTACGTGCTGGTTAGTCGTTTGGATCGGACTTACCATCACAGCAAGGCTCCCACAATTTAACTGAGTTTACGTTCCAGAACTTAAAACGCAGACAGTAGTTCTTGGCACGTTTTGTGGTGACTGTCCCTGCTTAAACTCAGTGGTTTGCTATTTAAATAGCGCCTGGAGTGAATAATGATGTTATTCCAGAATTCCATTCAACATTTCACTTTTCTCCAGAGAAAGCCGATGAAGATCCTTCTTAATATCAGGATGATCTTCCAGGTCTTCATATAATGATCGAACAATGTCCAGTTTCCTGTAGTCCACTGGTTTGACCAGACTGCGAACAACCTGGAGACACCTCTCCTTCAGGGTGAACACTGTGGATGAAAACACACACACGACCTCATCACAAGGGCTCTGCAGCGCAGGCAGCACTTCCCCAGGTGTGTGAATATAGAACAGAGCATGCAGCAGCGCTATTCACAACACCCCAGACTCACTAGAAAGAGGAAACCAACCTGTTTCCTGTTGTGAGGTGCCCTATGAAACCCTTGAGACATCTGCAAATGAGAGGTGTGTCAACAGCTCTGATCAATACGGTGCAATGACACAGCTGTATTTACAAACCCTCATGATCTCTTCCTATTTTTAAGGCAGGGTTTAATGTTCAAATACTTGGCATCTCACTAGGCCCTTAGGCTGAAGTCCAGAGAGATCCAGCACAAAGCCCATCAGATCCCACGACCAGCACAGTCCTGTTTACCTGGCAACGTGATGTCCGCCTTATTCACGTTGGGAGCCGCTACGAACAGCTCCTGCTGGTTGACGAGGAGACCATCGTTTGTCCCTGCGTCCCGGAAGAGCCAGAGGTGGCCTGGAGAACAAGAAGGTGGAAAAGCTGGCGTTTATTTCATTTTAACAAGCAGTTTTTGAGAGGCTGCCCTCAGCAACCACAGAATCACAGAATCTTCATGGTTCGAAGGGACCTTTGAGATCATCGAGTCCAACCACACAAAAAAAAACAGAACAGAAAAACACTAAACCCACAAACAGACACAACTCAGCAATCTCGGGCACTAGAGCATGCCCTGAAGAGCCATGGCTACACGTTTCTTAAATACCTCCAGGGATGGTGACTCCACTCACTGTCCTGCTCCTGCTGGCCACGCTGGTCCTGATACAGGCCAGGATACCATTGGCCTTCTTGGCCACCTGGGCACACTGCTGGCTCTCCAGCCACTCTTCCCTGAGCCTGTAGCGTTGCCCGGGGTTGTTGTGACTGAAATGCAGGACCCGGCACTTGGCCTTATTAAACCTCATCCCATTGGCCTTGGCCCATTGATCCAGTCTGTCCAGATCCCTCTGTAGAGCCTTCCGACCCTCAGGCAGATCAACACTCCCACCTAGTTTGGTGTCATCTGTGAACTTACTGAGGAACTCTTCCCTGAGCCTGTAGCGCTGCCTGGGGTTGTTGTGACCCAAGTGCAGGACCCGGCACTTGGCCTTGTGGAACCTCATCCCATTGACATCAGCCTATCGATCCAGCCTGTCCAGATTCCCCTGTAGAGCCTTCCTACCCTCAGAGGTGATTTAGCGCGGCTTTAATTGCTTTAATTGTAATCGTAAAAACGAAAGGGTAACCTTTAAGGAAAGCGGCGTTAAATGGCGCAGCTGGGAGCACAGAGCAGAGGTATGCATGTATATATTTTTACATATATATCTCATGGTACCTTTTCAGGCCAAAAAGGGGTGACTGGCATTTTACTGATCTTTAGCTCAAAAAAAAAAAAAATAAAAAAAAAATAAAACCACCTCGAAATGCATGCTGTGAGGTATTAAAATGTGATGGTGCTTAGCTTTCATAGAATTGCCTGGGTTGGAAGGGACCTTTAAGATCGTTGAGTCCAACCGTTGGCCCAACTCTGACAAACCCGTGTCCCTCAGCACCAAAGCCACCCCTGACCCGTGTCCCTTAGCACCACGACCACCCCTGACCCATGTCCCTCAGCACCACCTCTCCCTGTTTACAGGCCACCACCCTCGCTCTGGTCTCCTGGGTGACCACGGGAGGGATGTCCCCGAGGAGGGGGCATGTCCCCGAGGAGGGGGACGGACAAGAAGCCCGCCCGGCCATGAGGTACCGGGGAGCGCGGCCTACCTCAGCCCGGCCCCAGGCCCTTACCCACCCCGGTAGCTGTGCATGATCCGCCCGGTGCAGGGCCGCAGCACGGGGTAATAGCGCGGCCTGCCTTCGAAATCCACCCAGATGGGGAGGACGAAGCGGGGGCTGCGGTTGTTGAAGACGACCTCGGAGAGTTCGCGGCTGTTGACGGACCGAAGGACCGGAGGCTCCGGCGGCGACATCTCGCTCCCCGCCGCGGCGTCGCGGTGACGCATGTATATATTTTTACATATATATCTCATGGTACCTTTTCAGGCCAAAAAGGGGTGACTGGCATTTTACTGATCTTTAGCTCAAAAAAAAAAAAAATAAAAAAAAAATAAAACCACCTCGAAATGCATGCTGTGAGGTATTAAAATGTGATGGTGCTTAGCTTTCATAGAATTGCCTGGGTTGGAAGGGACCTTTAAGATCGTTGAGTCCAACCGTTGGCCCAACTCTGACAAACCCGTGTCCCTCAGCACCAAAGCCACCCCTGACCCGTGTCCCTTAGCACCACGACCACCCCTGACCCATGTCCCTCAGCACCACGTCTGCCTGTCTGTTAAGTACCTCCAGGGATGATAATTCCACCACTGCCCTGGGCAGCCTGTTCTGATGACTGACAACCCTTTAGGTGAAGAATTTTTTTCCTAATACCCACCCTAAACCTCCTCTGGCGCAACTTGAGGCCGTTTCCTCTTGTGCTATTGCTTGTTACTTTAAAAAAAAAAACCAAACAAAACCCAACAGTAACAAACAGAGGCATTAATCCATTTTAAGACTAAAACATCCAGATTAAGTTGTACAGTTCACTAGAGCAGGAAAAAGGGAAAATTTGTGGTGACTGTGTCTGACAAGGTTCCTCCTGTCCTTGAAAGTTCTGTTACCAGGGGGGAAATGTCACTAGGAAGTTACACAAGGCTGTCGCATCCTCAGACTCCAAAGACACGAGGAAATGACTCTGAATACCAGAATTATTTTCTCTAAACCCAGGAACTCCTCACTCTGTACCCATCTTTCTTCATCTTCAGAATATAATTTTGCAAACCCAAAGCTTTTCTTGGAAAGACCTATTATGTCAAAAATTCCATCCAAAAAAAGTTTGTTAGGGCCAAGGCAAAAGACACGTAAATCACATTCAAACCTTTATGCCCTAAAGTAGAGTTTTAGGCTCTTATTTATAAATGAAAGTATGAAGGAGATGTGTAACTTTAGGCATTGTGTGCAAGACTTTCAGATATTCCCAAATAGCTTCTGTGCATGGATTCTTTTCATGTTCAAGTGTCAGCTTTTATGGCAGCTTTCAGCAATGAGTGCCTAGAAGTAGGCTCCTCAGAAACTCCCAACTCTCAGAAGCACCGAGGGGGCAGCAGCACTCCGTGGTGATAAAGGGAAGTGCAAATCTACATCAGTTCTGAAACTCAAACTGTGTCTATTAGAAACAACATACGAGAATAGGAACCAAATTTGGCTCCTTTAGCATCTCTGCCTTTGACCATAACAGAAAAATTTTTAAAGAAATAGTACTTGCAACTCTAAACATCAATGGTTATCTACTCTTCCAGAGTGAGGCTATCAGAACCCAGGAAAAAGTATTTGTAAAAAAAAGGGGTAATTCCTTTGTTTTAACAGTGTTAGAGCATTTAGAGAGCTGCCTTGTGCAACAGTGGTGTGCACCACCCCAACACCCTCACAGAAACCAGGCAGTGCAGGAAAGAGTTAAACGGAGGCTGCTGGCACCAATTCATCCAGAAAGACAATGGTGCAGTAAATAAAGGGCTGCATTATCCTTTACTGGACATGGACCAGAAAAATAATACAATTAAGAATGATCTCATATGCAAAACTTCTAAAACTTTAATACCTGTTAATTCACCTCTAGACACTTACACATACTCAGCATGAATACACTTTAATGAAAATAGCAAACTGGTAACTAGTGTTTTCAGCTTTTGATGAGCAAAGAGTAAGAGGTTTGAGAAATCACAGTACACTTACAGAAGAAAAAAATATTTGCAACTTCAAGTTATTCAACAGGTAATATATTTTTGTAAATATTGTCGCAGAACTACAGCAGTTAAATCACCTAATAAATTTAAATGTATTGCCACCTTGATGTGTCTACAGTAGACACTGAAAATGCAAACTTTTTAATGTAATTGCTAAAAGTATCTCTGTTCTCCAGTAGTTACTACAGACAGTTTGATAAGGCTGTGTGTGCTACCCTCCTCACCCACAGCAGTGGTACATTAAAACATGGATTAGACATTTACTAATAGCACTAATTTGAGGTAACAGGTAAGAGAAACAGTAGCATCAGCATACTGTTTACTAATTGGCATTAGCTTATTAGACCATACAAAGCACATACTGGTTTATCATCTTTGTTTACATTTGGGTATTGGGATAAATTAGAAAACTTCAATTTGGAAAAATCCTACGTTAAAGAGAGACTACCTCTAAACCCTCCAAGATGACAGTCTCGCTAGTCCTGGCAGTCATCATACGTGACTGATTCTGCAGTTTGGGGAATAAAGTCACTGTTACCTCCAAAGCTGCCTCAACATGTTTTCTACTACAAGCAGAGGAAATAAAAATTTAACTGGAAACTACACTGGATGTGGTAGAGAAGACTCAGGCGAAGGAAAGCATTACTATTTCCACTACTGAATTTCAGTTTGGGTGGCAGGGTTCCTCCCTGGTGATTTAAGGTGATAAGAGGTGATTTAAATAACAAGGTTTCAGAACACATAGTACAACTGGTAGTTCTCGAGTTGATCCCTGGCTTAATATTCCTTACACAATTTCTACAGAGGTTGGTTATTTGTTTCTTAGGAATTGACAGGCCTACATTCTCAGATGTCTGCTTTACCAGACTGCCACTCAACAAACTCTGGAGATGCCCCTTTCCCTTCCTGCAGGCAGGTCACCAGAACGATCTTTTCTCTTCTGCTCTTTCCCAGGTGCGTTTCAGAAGATACACCGCAGCGTGAAGCCCGCCCACGTTCACCCACACGGTCTGGCCTCTGCGCCAGATGTGTCCCATTCGTGACAAGGCCTGCAATCCAAAAGAACAGCCAAAGATTGGTGGGGCTTCAAGGTAAGACCATAAGGGGAAAATTTGCTTTAGAAATTATTTATTATTCTAAATCACATCTGATGGCGACATCAAATGACTCTTCTGGTCCAAAACTGTACTTAAATGCTACTAATTATTGCTGTAAAAATAGATGAATTTCTGTAACAAAGTCAGCTTACTATTTTTTTCTCAATATATTTTCATGTGCAAATACATTCAATTTTGTGTCACAGAACATACCTTGGCAAAGCATTTCTTGTCCTGTGTCAGCAGCACAGCCCTGCCTGTGCCCGGCGTGCAGATCCGGCCCATCTCCATGAGGCAGGCTGGGTACAGATCCCAGTTCTTCTTCTTTGACCCTATCCTGCAAAAGAAATTAAGATCCCTTTTGTGATCACTGAGAAATACTGAAGTACGGTTGGTGTTTCAGATGTGGATTAGCTCGTTCAGGACCACATTTACTACTAATCTCAAGACGGATTTTTACTACAGAGTACATCAATACTTCTTCATTAGGCGCAGTTAACGCCAGCACTGGGCAGGCCAGCACACGTAGTGCCAGTGAAGGGCAATGAGGTCACCAGAGAGAGCTCACCTCTTCCCAAACGGCATGTCCGACACGATAATATCCACAGATCCCGTCCGCAAAGGGAGGTTGCAGATATCCCACTGGATGATGTCTAAGGGAATGCCCAGGGAAGTGCTGCTGCAAGGGCAAAGACGTTTATCTCAGACATGGTTTGCTGAGAAGTATTTTTAAATTGAGGTGTTCTATAATGTTAGCAAAAGAATAAATAGGAAAACATGAAAAAGTCAGTCAAACGCAACAATGCAAAACGGATTTCTTTATGTACAATACTACAGGAAACAAAAATCACTGATACTCCTGCGACTCTTCTCACCTTTCCTTATTCTCATTTTTCTTTAGTAGAGAACAGATGTTGTTTGCTGCTCTCTTTACAGCTTGTGGGTTGTTATCACCAGCAATATGGTAGCAGCTTGGCCATTCCGTAGCTCCCTAGGGGAAAATATTGATAAGCAACATCAGCATCAACACTGCTTAATTAAAAAAAAAAACAAATATCAAAGCAAACAAGCTTGTTTGTTACTCAAACGTGACAGAATAGAAAGCAGCTGGAAGTGGACATCAATGATTCTAAACTTCTGCAACAGATGCATGTTATAGCTATGATGCATCTGAAAAGCTCAAAATACTATTGGATTTAGCTTCCTTCTGCTACAGCTTTGGGAAGGAAAATGAAGTCACTTACAAAAACTGTATTTCTATCTGTTTAAGAGCTGGTGAGATACTTTTGGAGTTGGCTATTCAGTTATTGCCAAGAAAATATACGTATTATTCAGTTGCAGATTCTGTCAAATTTATTAAGTTAAAAAATAAAGGAAGAGTCACCTCTATTGGTATTGCACCTGTGCCACACATGGGATCAACTATGATATCCGTTGGCTGTGGATCACAGAGTCTGCGCAACAGGGAAAAAAAAGATACAGTGAGAAAAGTCTTAAAAACTTGAACTTCTGAAAGGAAGGAAAACCAAACTATTTTAACCACTCTGATTCTACCCTTCTTACAAAAAAAAAACCTATGTGATTATTTTCTCCATTCATTATTTAGCATTTTAGAAGCACCAATGCAGTGAAATACTGTCAAGAATGTGATACAGCATTTTGAAAACTGGCTAATGGATCACAGCAGATGTTTACTTTACTAAGCAGGAAAACATCCACTGTTAACTACAAAGCACACTGCTCCAGCAACTGTGTGTTGTTTTTTCCCTCTTTTGTTTTTTTAAGAATTGACAGAAATGGCTTTTGAGGAAGCAGTGGGGGGATAAAGGAACTAATTTCTGCAACAAAATGCCTTATTAACTGAGAATAATAGATACTATGGAATTGCACTGACCTAAGCATGCCGTAAGCAAGAGTTGAACGAAGAGTTGTGGGTCCAAAATGAGTGATGTTTCTTCTGTGGAGGCTCTCTTCAGTTAATGCAATGCCCACAACTACTTCATTATTGTGAATATTCAGAAGAACCTAAAGAAAAAATTTCAACTAAAATTCAGGGGTAACGGAAGTTTTCCATAGCACACCTGCTAAATATGTAGGAGAATCTTAGATGGCAATTTAAAAAACAGAAAATGAGTATAAAAGAGCATTCTTGGAAGAGAAGCAATTCACCATTTTCATGGCAACAACAGATAAAATTCAGGAGAGCATTCACACGTTTTCTCATTCACACAGAATCTTTTACACAAGGCTTCAAGAAGTGCTATAACCATTACACTGACTTTTTAAAAGTTTTGTTTGGTAAGTATGGGGGGAGCAGGGTTAAGCCCTGTGAGTCCCAGCAAAGCAGCAATAAAAATCCTATTCCTCTCCCCTCCACCATATAAATTTGAAAAGCAGAGATACTGTTGTAGGACAGTGGGCCAGCCCTGAATAGAGAGAGTTGCAAGAAAAAGTTGGGGTTTGTGCCCCTCAGAAGGGGTGGTCCTGCCCCTGGGATGGAGCATGACTGCTGGGTGTCCTTTGGGATCTCCCTGCCCCTGGGACAAGAAACAAACACTGGACAGTGAGCGTTAACCCTTTGTCTCCCTCAAGCACAAAACTACAGCTTCCAGATAGAATATCTTCTGTTAACTCACACTCATATAAAGCACTGTATGAAGCAAAGACTTGATGAGGCTAAAAGCAGAGCAGAAGGCACCCAAACAAGACCAAAGGCTGCGGGAGGAGGTGACACTTGGTACTGGAGCTTTTGCTCTTGCTGAGGGAGAGGGGAAAGCTTTTGAACACCAGCTCAGCTGTACTGGTGTGGTGATGTTAACTGGTCAACCTGAGGAGAAGACAACAGTGTTTGCAGAGCAAAAGAGGGACGTGAGGAAGAGGAGAGGCGCCCATTCTGGGCCACAAAAGACATTGTTGTTGTGGGCAGCCAAAGGACTAACAAGGGGTGGGGGATGAGGGTGCACATAATGTGCCAGGGAAACAAATGCTTGTGAGGAGGCTGTGATTTCTTTTAGTTCCAGTCATCTTTTGAAGGCAGTTCGGAGACCCCTAAGCACCAGAATTAAGCATGAAGAATTTTTACAACAGAAACGTAGGCATTTCCAACACTATACCTCGACATCAAAGTTGGTCATGTCAGCTTTCCACTGGAAGTGCTCCTGCACGGCTCCGCCAAAGTCCCTCGCGGCCTCGTTCGAGGTGAAGCTGTGCTTGTCCCCTGCTCTGTTGCAGGTGACGCGGAACTTCAGCACCTTCGCGTCTCCTCCTCCCGCTGTACCCTCACCAGCCTTGCTCTCGCTCCCAGAGCCCGCCTGCAATTCCTCTTTGGCGTGTGATTGTTCATTATCCTCCTCCTCCTCCTCCCCGTCCCGGGATGCCACCCCTTGGGGCTCCTCTGTGTCCTGGCCACCAGCAGGTTCCACCCCCGCAGCGTTTTGGGCACAGTCCTCCTGTTTGCTGGCCTCTTGTTGGTCTGTCCCTTCCTCCTCTCCGTCGGCGTTCAGCTTCTCTCTGCTTGCTGTACTCTGCAGATTGTGTTTTTTGCGCTTTGTCTTTTTCTTTTTTAAGCTGTTGTTCAGCTCCCAAACTTTCATCGGATCGGTCCAAGGCAGTTTTTTAACCAAATCTTCCAAATCCTTCAGAGCATCTTCCTTTAAAAGACAAAAAAGTTGTTCTTTGAAGTCATTCCCTCCCTTTAAAAACTATCCCTTTTTAATCTCTCGAATTAGCTTCCCAAACGTGTAACCCATCACACAGTTGCGCAAAGCTCATGGCTCTTTGTGCGATTTTTGCCATAACTGAGCTGAATTGCACTTCAAGTCACTGGACTCTTAGTATTTCATCATTTTTCTTATCAAATAAACAGCTAAACTAAGCGACTGAAGTGACACTTTACTGTCCTGTGTCTGAGTGTGACCTACAAGCACAGAGTGGGCTCCCATCCCAGATTATTTGATTGAAGAAGTGACGTCAGAGAGCACGACTGCACTTGTTTGACACGGCAGCAGCGGGGGACGGGCATCGTATCACATACAATTAAAAGAAGACTTGTTTGTGGAACAGAACACCTGCTGAAACTGGCCTTTAATTAAAACACACCCCAAACCCCAGAACTGGCAGTTAAAGGAGCAGTAGCTCACCTTGTTCTCTTTGAACGGGTAATCCTTAAACTCCTGAACAACGACGAACAAATTATCCACGGACCTCAGGCGATGGACCTAGAAGAAACGCGAGACCAGGGTGGCACGTCACCGGCCCTGCGTGCCCAGGGGACCGCGCTCATTGTCACCAGGGCGGTGTCACGGCGAGCTAACCCACCGCCCCGCCACCGGCCCCGTTCGCACGGGGGTTACCGTTACCGTTCCCGCGCACGGGCCGCAGGCAGAGCTCCTGCCGCCGGCTGCACCGCTCGCTCTCCGGCCTCACCCACCCCGGACACCGCTCCCGGCGCACAGACGGACGGAGCGGCTTTTCCGTACCGAGCGCCGTTAAACCGAGAGCGGGCCGGGATGCCGCCTGCCGCACTCCCCGCAGCCACGGCTGCCAGGCCGCCCGCCGGCGGAGCGGAGCGGGGACCGGCTCGGGGGACCGGGGAGCGGAGCGGACCTGCGGCAGGCTTTGTGCTGGGACTTCAAAGTAGATCTTCCCCCGGTCCTTGCTGATCCGGGAGGCCGAGCCCAGCTTCTCCTGCACCTCCTCGGCCGCCGTCTGCTCGAACCCGGTGGGCACGGTAGCGCCGATAACGGCGCTGAGCTCCGCGCCCTCCTCGGCCGGGGCCGGGGCCTGCCCCACCTCTGTGCCCGCCTCCGCCATGCCCCACCGCCGGGACGGGCCGAGCCAGGACGGGCCGTACAGCGCCGGGACCTCCCGCCGCCCGACCGGCACCACGCGCCGCCGCCGCCCGCCCCTTCCGCTTCCGGCCGGCCCCCGCGTCTGCGCACTGTTGGCAGCGCCCCCTACTGTCCGGCCGCGGGATGCCCCTGCTCGCTACGGGCGGCAGGCGGCGCCCGGCCCCGAGCGGGGAGGGGCGGTTAGGCCCGGCTCCGGGCACGGGGGAGGATACCCCGGCCCCGGGCGGGGAGAGGAGGGGGCGAGGCCCGGCCCGGGGCGGTGAAGGGGCGGTTAGGCCCGGCCCGGCCGCGTGTTCCTGCCCAGGCTGGTTGTTGCAGCGGGTGCGGGCGGTCCCCGCCGCCCGGGAGACAGCCGTTGCCGGCGGGAGAGCGGGGGTGTGCCTCACGCCCGGCTGCGAGGGGCGGCAGAGGCAGCGCTCGGCCCCGCCGGACGGTACAAAGGCAGCGGTAACCAGAATCCCCCGGGAGGCCCCGGGCCCGTGCCTGCTCCCCCTGTGTAACACCGACCCGTTGTTTTCCTTGAGGAGCGTGAACCCAACGGGGCCCGTGGGCCTCGGGGGAGCCGCAGGGGACCGGTCCCGGTGTGCGCGGGTGCCCAGGGCCCCCCTGTCTCCCCCCGAGCCCCTGGGGTGCCGGTGCAGTGCTCGGCGGGGAGCGGTTCTCTTCCTCCGCAGGGTTTTTGGCTGAGCACCGACACCGCAGTGAGCCGCGACTGCCGCGGGCGCGCATTTGCCTTTGGGTGGCAAACCACGGGTGGCCATTTCCTACTTTATTCCTTGTTATAAAAAGTACCGAATTTCCTTGATCTTCTGGCTATTGTCTTTGGCACGTTTCCAGCGCTAGAATTTATTTTTAAATAAACCACGAGCTGCTAAATGTTTTTTCAGGAGACACAGAAAGAAAGACAGGCCACCCTAAATATCTTCCATGACCGTGACTGCATCAGTATGACAGAGTGTGAGCTGCATGAAGCCGCAGAGGCATTCTTTTCCCTCCTCCTCTCTTCTTCAAATCCCTTAGTCTTTACCTTTTCCCAGCATTGGGTTTATAAATGTAAACACAACTTGTCCCTGCAGCTTGTTCTTCCGCACTTGCAGTGTATACTGGCAAGAGCCCTGTTTGTTGTCGTTTTCCTAGGTAAGTTCTGATTCCGCTGTGACATTTTAATAACGAGCAGGATGCCTGAAGCACTGCTCTTGCCATTAAGCCTTCTGAAGCATTGCTTTGGTTTCGGATGTGTGTGAGAGTGTGCCTCAGAGAGGGAAGGTGTGGGTTTTATTCCATCAGTTTATTTTTAACTTGTGATTTAAGTCTGAAAATATAGAATTAAAACCATGGAATTTGGGTCAAACATACTGGAGAAAGTTTCTGTGAAATGGATTCTTTGATGAGAACTTAAAAATAAGCTAAAGCAGAGAGAAACACTTGGGCACATTTACATCTTCTTCTAAGCCATAGATGGCACCCTGCAAGATCTTTTCGGTGCGGTGACAGTGCCACGACACGGGGTGTGACGATGGCTGCACAAACTGTATATCCCCACGCGCTCCGTCCCTGGCGACTGCTGAAGTGGCCTGTGACACTATACCTTTACTGCAGCCTTTTGTAAGTTGTAGCTGATGTTCATGTGGTTTGCTGGCATGCAGAACACCGAGCACCCTGCTCACAGGCTCTGTGCCTGAGCCACTGGGATTCCAGTGGGATAACGAGCTCGGCTTGCTGAGCTGCTTTAAATAGCAGAATTTTCAGCATATTTCGGTGAAGGTGTTTGCCAGGCACTTAAATTAATTCCATACGTCTGGCCTATCAGCAGCAGCTCTGACCTTTCCCAGCTGGTCTCAGATGGAAGGTGAGAGCCGGTAATCGTCCCGCTATGCCTCAGCTCTTGAAAGCTGTCCAGGCACCACTGGCAGAATTATTTCCTGCCTGCAGCCGGGTCCTACAGTAGCTGAAGACATTTGTGTGTCTAATACCCGTGCGACACTGTTCCTTAGAATAATACCACACTTCTCTTGCAGCTTTCCTCCTCACGTCCTCCTGACATGCCCTGTAAACGTAGAGGTGAAGTATCTTTCAGTTTAAATAGGTGGAGATGGCACCTTTATGAATGACAGAAGCAACACCATTTAGACCAGCACCATGTGGCACAGTGTGTGACAGTGGGTGTGAGGAGAAATTTTCCCCTAAGGATTGGGGACAAACTCTCCTGTGTGGGAGGCACTCTGGCAGTGGGACACATGGAACTGCGCTAACAGCTTTATTAAGATTTATCTTGAGGAGCGTCCCGTGAGGTGAATTAGAGGATTGTCTTCCCACGTGAACTGGAAGGTGCATACTCACCTGGCTGAGTCCCCTCGGCTCCTCTAAGGCTCCTTAAATGAAGACCCTGCTGGTGGAGCCCCATCTAGCAAGAAACTTAATGCGCTCATAGAGCTTTACACGGTTTCATGAAAGCAGTGAAAGGCGTTCAAACATCTTGCTTATCTTGGGCCAGAGTAACTGAAATTAATTTCTTGGATTGTTTTAATTAATTTGGTGGGGCATAAACAAATTTAGAGATGGCATTGAATTCCCAATAATGAAGCGCAAAGTTATGTCTGGACCTGCCCTGCCTGGAGAAACTGCTTATATTGAGCTGATTTCAGAGCTGCAGAATTAATGTGGTGGGAACCAGTACGGTGTGCCTTGCAGTAACAGGGATGTGTTGTATAAATCCCATCCAGCACTTGGGTTTGCAAGGGTTGAAGTTCTCTCAGCAAGGACATATGTTTTCTTCCAAATCAGCCCCTCCAGATGCAGCTGCAAAGCCTGTGCCTGCTAAAAGGGACCTGAGGAGGAGCCTGGTCTTCAAGAGGAGAAAACCACAAGTGGGTTTAGGAGCAGCCCAGGTTTTTAAGAAAGCATTAAGGAGTCTGGGCATCCTTAAATATTCAAGGCCATAATGGAAAAGGTGGAGGATAGGGACATCTAATATCCGTGATACATCATTGCAAGAGACCTGCATCAAAGAAAACCTTTAAAGTGAGACATCTGATCTTTTTCAGTGTCGGATTTTGCTTCACACCATCTCAACTTTTACTCTGGACTGAAAAACATCACGGTTAATCCAAATTAAACATCATGATTAATCCAAATCCTTGGCATCGGCCTTCCTAGCAGAGTGCCATGTGAGCTGCCAGATGTCACTCCAGATGTGTTGCTGGTTCAGCCAAGTGAAAGCCTGTCTACATTAATGACCTGCAGCCGGCACTTCTCTGATGCCTCTCTTCTGAAGATCTCCTGGGCTTTACATGGTAGCAGCAGCATGTGTTGGGTCCAGCAGAGCGATCTGGGTGTTGCTCAGTTTTCGTGGTCTCTGGGTTCACCCCATCGGGCTCTCGGACGCTTTGGGAAGGAGGAAGGGGTCAGGGTTCTCAGGGTCCTGCCTGCAGAGCGCCCACAGTACCTGCTGGAAACAACAGGCACCCTTGGTTCCAGACGTACCGCACCTGACTCCATTGGCAGAGATGTTATCTTGACTCATTTATTTGAGGTCGTTTGTGGAGACTTTATGGGTTGAACCTCAGGGCCAATGGAGCTGGTTCCCTGAAACATCCCTGAATGGAGTGATTCTTTGGCAGAAGGGCTGACGAGGAACCACAGTAACAGTGCTGATTAGAGAATGAGGAAGGAAAATACAAGCAGATCAGAAGTGCTGGCTGCAGGCGGGATCAGGCCTCTCCAAACAGTCAGCACTCTTGTCTTTCTGGGAATTACCAGATAACTGCAAATGACTTTTTTGTGTCCACAGAAGCAGCGTGCTGATCATGCTAGTCAGCACTGCTAGCCCCAGCACCACGCTGTTGCCTTTATCTGGTGGAAGCTGTGGAGATCTCACCTGGATTTGGTACAAGTCTCTTCTGCGTGGGCTTTTCCCTCCGACTCAGTGCTGCATGAGGCCTTTTTGTTTCTGGCAAGTCACAAATACATAATGTTTTCCAGCAGCCTCTCTGTCCCTGTACTAGCACGCCACTCTGCAGGACAGTGCAGGATTATCTCGTGGTTGTGGTGACAAAATATTGTCGATCCAAATTCATGAACAAAGAAAACACTGTTCCACACAATTTCTTGTGGATATGAAGAAAATCACAGATTTATGTAAGAATGACTGGCTCTCCTCATTCTGTTTATTTAGCCATAGCTTCTTTTAAAATACATATGAAAATAGTAGAGTGAATTAATTTCTGGGATAACCTCATTGGCTTCACTAGAACGTTTGAAGCTCATCTCAAGGTAATCCTGGATTCACCGCGGTAATCAAAATCAGAAGAAGCTCAATAAATAGTAGTCTTTTGCTCCATTTACACCTCTTCCTGCATTCAAACAGCATTCTCCCTCTATGAGCTGTCTCAGACCCCGTAGCAGAGCCCCTGCCAGCTCACAGTGAGTGAGACCTGACACGCTGCAGACCACCAGTGAAGCCCCACGTAGGAGTCTGCACATGGGCAGGAAATCACTGCGCTGCGTGCACGGCTGTTCAGGGAAGTGCCAGCACAATGAATATCCATAGAATGCTGAATGTTACTATAACTGGGTTCCCAAGGTATTCCAGCCTTGTGGAGATTTTTATAGACCATTGCTCCATTTGGCAGCTAGAGGGTAAATAGGAGGAGTGCTCGACGAGCTGCAGTCACAGGTAGCTGAAGCCTGAAGCCTTATTTGAGGATGGATGAGTAAGATCCTATTATTGTTACGTTTTCCTTTGACTTTGAATGAATATATATTTTAGAAAATTAAATTCTTTGAAAAGCGCATTCAGGAAAAGAGTTGCCTGTTATTTCAGCTCATCTGGATTGTATTTTTTGCTTCTGGCAAATGGATCAGGCTGGACATTTGTTCAGAGAACAGGGCAGTGGTAACTCCCAGCTCCAGCCACCTGGTCCCAGATTCTTGAGCAACTGTTTTCCTTCCCTGTGAATATCTGCAAGTCAGTTGTTGGGCACCTGAATCCAGTTGTCAGGTACTACCAGCAACTGGAGAGTCTTGCCTAATCTTGTAGGTACCTAAAGGTGATGGATACCTAAACTTCTGTCAGCAGACATGAATGTAACTGCTGAATTCCTGAAACAGTTCATCAGTTCGTGCCCAAGGCCTGGGAGGATTCCCAGACAAGACCTTCTCTTTCTCCAACTTGCTCATGGAAACTCATCCAGAGATATCAATCTCTTGCTTAAATGAAAGCATTATCTTCTCTCCACCCCAATCCTTCCCAAAAGAAAGATGTCAAGACCTTCTGTGGTTAGCTTTACGCTCTCTCTTGTCTTGGCAATCTTGTGGAGAGAGAGGTCCATCAAAGCTCCTCTTCTACATGACTTGGAGAAGTAGTCTTCTCTTGGGGACTGTCTCATGTGCTTCCCTATGACAAAGCTGACCTGGATTCCAGCTCTGGTCCAAAATGGTGGTGTCCAGCCCGTGGGGCGTGGGGAAAGCCATTTCTCTAGAGGAAGAGATAACCTGCCAGGGAATTTCAGGTGGAAACTCAGAAGTGTCTAACTGCTTTAGGGCTTGAACCGCACCTCCCTTCTGTTTTTCCTGCTGGCTAGCTTGGGTTTAGATGGCTCTCTGCAGCCCTTCTTTAGTATTTCACCAGTCCCTCCGCTGTGGCACCCCAAAGGAACCTGTCTGCATGCCCCTGCCTGAGCTGTGATCCTGCCGGCAGCAAAGCATCCCACACTTACACCGTAGCCTGCAATAAAGCAAGCTACTTAAAGCCCAAATTCCCGTGATTTCCACAGAGTGTTGAGCTCCAGTGTGACTGCATGCTGTAAAGGGAGTCTGCCTCTTATGCCATTTAGACATATTTGAAAATGTTATCCTCTCTGTCGCAGTGCTGCACCTTTACGGTGTCTCAAATAGTGCTCCTCTACCTCAGGAGTGATGAGGAATTCAGTGAGACCATGGGGCACGCACATGCTGTGGCAAATAAATAAATACCCAGTGAGAAAGAGAGCAAAAAGGTGGCACTCACCCAGCAAAAAGGTGCTGGGTGAGCTGTTCATCCACAGCTTCCCTAAGACTTGGCAATTACGCTAATGTAACAGCCATCAGATGATAATTGCTCCACTTATTCATCACTAAAGATGTGGTGATTAGCAGGT